GGCTGGCTCGCTTGTCCAGCTTGGCCCACAACGACTTGGCGCTCCAGTAGTTGAGCTGAGCCTTCATCTTGTGGTACTGGGGCAGCCCCCCACCAGGCTCCAGCTCCAGGGCCTGGCATAGCCCCTGGAAACTGCTCAGCACATTCTGACACAGCTGGGCCTGCAGGAAACTCTCAAAGTGGGCATGCGCTGGGTTGGTGGACGTGGGTGAGGCCATGGAGGCCCCTGGATCCCTCAGGGAAGGGAGGAGCTGGACAGAAGCAGAGGATGCTGGAGAGGAGAGAAGAGAAGGAGGGGAGGCTAGAAAAAGGAGGCAGGGAAAGGGCAGGGGAGGAGAGGAAAGCAGGCCAGGTCCTCCCCTGATTGGCTCTGCTTCTCTCTCCCAGCCCACTCCCAGTCTGCTCTATAGACAGCTGCTCTCCCTTCCAAGTGAAAGCTGCCAAATTTGGGAATGAAGAATCAGCAGTCCAGTGCACAGACGGCACACAAGAGGCGAAGAAGCCACCAGCTCAGTGGCTCCTGACCAGGGATCTCCAAGCCCTGCTCCATCCCTGGGGTCCACAGGGCAGAAAGCGGAGTGTCGGGGAATTTCTCAGACATGGACAGGGCGTGTTAGCCAGGAGCGATTTCCTTGTGGGGCAGACCACACACCTGCAACCCCAGCGCTGGGCACACATACTCCCCCACCTTAACCCACGCCTCCCGGTGCCAGGTGACCCTGATGGCCTCAGTGCCACGTGGGTGTGGGGTGTGCCTTACACCAGGGGCAAAGATTTTCTCCTTAGCACTGGTGATTTCCTCCTGAGGGAGGGCAGAGGCGTCTGTAAGGGTGAAGGTTCCACTTCCCTCCACCCAAAATGCCTCAACCAACAGCGGGAGGATGTTGCGTGTCACAGCTGACGGGGTGAGGGAGCACGGGGTGTACTTCTGACTCACTGTGGTCAAAGACACTTCCCTGTGAGACCTGTCTGCTCCAGTGGGCCTCCAGGGCGGTCTGGGGGCCACAGCAGCCTGGTTCCCCCTCCCAGCTTCCTCCCACCCCCATCCAAGGCCCGCCCCATCCCCTGTGGGCTCAGGCGTGCTCTCCTAGGAATTTCCCAAAACAAGGCCTCCCTTTGTCCCCCTTCCCTAGCTCGGGCCCCCACGCACACTGAGGAGCGACCAGGGGGCTTTCTCACGCTGGGGCCTGGAGGAAGGGGAGGGCACGGAGAATGGGGCTGCCGCTGGGGGAGTGAGGAGAGGTGCGTGGCCTCGATGGGCGCAGTTCCCTGGGATGGATCGACACCCCTCTCGCCCCTGCCGGCCGCTCCACGGGTCCCAGCCGGAGACCAGCGGGCCGGGCCCGGCCGAGCGGGGGAGGGAGACTCAAGTTGTCCGATGCAAATGTCCTGGGCCAGGGCCGGCAGGAGGTCAGGAGAGCAAAGGTCTCTCGGGGGAGGCGGGGTGTAAGGCGCCCGGGAGACAGAGGGGCGACCGAGCCTGGAAGCGCCAGGACTGGGGATGTGCGAGGGCTCCAGAGGTCCGGGAGGATGGAGAGGAGCCGGACCGCAGCGGGTGGGGGTGGGGGGGCCCACTCTCACTCTGGACAGGGAAGTCTGGAGCGGGCTGAGCGGGGCGGGGGCGAGGGAAGCCGGGTGGGACCGGCCAGGCGGGGTGTCCGCGCGCCCAGGACTCCTCTTCCTCAGAAGCCACCCCACCTCACATCCCCACCCCACCGCGGGCCGGGGTGCACAGCTGGCTAAGCTGGACGACTTACCGCGGCTCCGGAGCCGGGTGGGGCCGCTTCCTGCCGGCCGGGTGGGAGGGCGGGGCGGGGGCGGGGGAGGAGGCGCGGAGGGAGAGCGCGACGGAGAGCGGGGCGCGGGCGGCGCGCGGGTCTTCTGGTCCGGGGAGCTCTGCGCGTGGGCTGCTACGGGAGCTTTGTTCGCGCTTCATTAGCATCTCATTACCCCGCGATCGCCGGCTCGGGGCAGCCCGGGCCCGCCCAGTCCCCTGGGTGGTGCCCGAAGGCGTGGCACCTTAGGTGCCGGGTTCCGCTTGTGGGCCGGAGACCCGGCCTGGCGGGGGACGCGGAGCCCGAGATCCGGGCTCTCTGCCGGTGCCAGGGTCCGCAGAGCGTGCCCTTCCCCGAGGCCGCCCATCCTGCTCCGCGGTCTCTCCGAGCGCGGGCTGGGCAAGAAGTTTGCCGAAGCTGGCGGGACAGTCTCTAAGCTGTCCTCACTCTCCTACCGGGAGATCCACGGCCCGGGCGCCACACGCTGGATTCAAGCTCGTGTTCCGCCGCGCCCCCTCCCCCCCCCGCCACCCCCGCGACAAGCCCGCCCCTAGAGCCAGCCTGTGGGCAATGGGCACGAATTACGCCTGGGAACTCCGAAATCGGCGGCTTGCACGCGGCAGGAGAAGTGAGGACAAAGAGGGTGTTGGAGTGGGGGAGGGGCGGTGGCATTCACTGCGGAGAACGGAGCCATTGGAAGGGGTGTGTGGGCGGGGACGAGAGTCCCAGGACTCAAAATGCCTAGGAGTGAGGACCCACAGAACTGTCCCTGCTGAGAAGGGCTGGAGAGACCTATGGGATCAACTTCCTCCTGTTCCGGGTGAGGAGACAGCCTGAGGTCATTCATTCAGCTGGCTGATATTAATAGAACACCACTTCTGACTTACTGAGCGTCTACTATGAGAATCCCCTAATCTCCATCATCACAGCGATCCCATTTTACCGAAAAGGAAACTGGAGGTCAGAGAGGTCCTGGGACCTGCAACAAGTTGCACGCAAGTGGCAGGGCTGGTATGGGGCCCAGGTCTATCTGACTCCACGACATCAGTGTTGGTAACAACGTGACAAATGAAAGGCTGGCATTATAAGGAGCTGTTTCTTGTTGAGAGCAAGTGACACTGTTACACTAGAAACACCAACAAAACAGAGGAGTGAATGGGAGGTTTGCTCTCTTTGAGATCCAGGGATCAGAAAGACCTGGGTGCCCTATGGCCCTTTCTCTTTATTCTCACTTTGTGTTTTGTCTGGAAACCCTCTGAGACCCAGTCAGACTTGAATACTCTCTGCTCCCAGCTTGAGCTCTAAGCCAGCAGGGGAAGGGAGGCTAGGGGAAAACGCCTGCTCTGCCAGGGAGGCAGGGAACTCCGCCAGGTCACGCTCAGGAAACTAGGGCAGCCTCCCAGCTGGGCCGATCCTGGCTCTTGCGTGTGACTTGTCATTTGGCATGAAACGAATGTGCCAAACATCAGGCACACCCATATTTAAGTACATATTATTAGAAGCATTCTACACTCCACTATAAATGAGTTACCAGGCCCTTACAGACACCCATTTCCCTTTCATTAGCTGAGGGTAACAACCAACTGCTTGGACTTAGCGCATTTGCAAAGCGCCAGCTGGGTCTGGCCCTTGACTCAGTAGCTTCTGTTGCAGTCAGAGGCGGGGTTATGTGGCTCTCTGAAGGGCAAATGGTAAGATTTGTCTTTAAAAAAGATCACAGAACAATAATGATTTCATCAATACTGAAAAACTGCTGACTTGAAGTTTCACTTTATGTTAAAGATACACACGGGAGCAGAAAGCAATGAGGCCTATTTTGGCCTGTAATCCAGACGATCTGGTCAGATTCCAGCTTTGCTTCACCAGGAGATCCACGTATGACCTTGAGAAAGTCACCAACCATGATGCTTCTGTCTCATCTTCTCTAAACGGAGACTGTATAATTACTCAACCTCCTCAGCCCATTTGATTCTAAAATCCTATTATTCAATGTTGGTGACTCTAAGAAATGTACAGACTAGAAGATCCAAAGCAAGTTCTATTTAAAGTTTCTTCAAAGAAAAAAAAATGACCTCTATTAAAACTAAAATAATAAATTTATTATTAATCTATGTCTTTCTCTTCTTAATTAGAATCTTGAGTCATTATCCATATTATATGTGTCGTATATAAACTAAAAATACTGGCACAGTCACATCAGCCAGCAAACAAGTGACTGATACATGAAAAATCAGTTTTAAAGGAACCTGATTCTAATATTTTTGCAAATAATACTGCTGGCAATGGCCACGGTTAAAAACCTAAGCTATTAAGACAGGACCCATTTCTTCTAATTCACACCATGTTCTATCTTCCTTCAATGCCATTCATACCTCACCTCCCAACCTCTCATTTCCTGAGCCTGGAGTCAGAAATTAGGTCCCTGGCAGGGCAGGTGGCATGTCTAAGACACCCTGCACCTATGGTCCGTTTGTTTAAACAACACATCCCTATGCCTGGGCTGGGAGCTGTGGCTGCAGTGTGACCAGACACGCATAGCTCCTGATGTAAAAATAGTTACAAACCAAGCCAAGTGTGTCGAGTGCTGTTCACAGATATGACAGGGTGGCTTGATTGAGATTAGAAGGTCAGGGAGGGCCTTCCTGAGGAAGTGACACTTACACTGAATTCTGACAAATGAATAGACATTAGTCAGAGAGTATGGGCAGAAACCTTTCAAGGCTGAGAAAATGCCTACCTCAAAGCCCTAAGGCAGGAAATTGTGTGTGTGTGTGTGTGTGTGTTGGGTGGGTTGGGGGAGAGGGGATATGGAAGGTGGGAGGGAGGGAGGGAACAGCAAGGAAGCCAGGGTGGCTGGAAGTTAAAGTGGGAAAGGGGCCGCCCTAGCTGGTTTGGCTCAGTGGACAGAGCCTCGACCTGGGGACTGAAGGGTCCTGGGGTTCGATTCCGGTCATGGGCACAAGCCCAGGTTGTAGGCTTGATCCCCAGTAGGGGGCGTTCGGAAGGCAGCCAATCAGTGATTCTCTCTCATCATTGATGTTTCCATCTCTCTCTCCCTTTCCCTTCCTCTCTGAAATCAATACAAAAGTATATATTTTTAAATAAATGGGAAAGGGGTCCAAGAGGAAGCTAGACTGGAGATCTTAAGTGCAATGGGAAACTGCAGAGGATTTAAAATAGAACAGAGACATGGTCATATTTGCCATGATAACACAATATCCAATCACAATGGTGAGCCCAAATCACCACTTCCAGTGGAGAAAGGGGTTGGGGGAGGGGGAGAAAGGCTGTGCCAGGAGTCCAGGCAAGAGGACTTGGTGCAGCTATGGGATGGGGGAAGTGGATGGATTCTAAACAGAGTTTGAGGTGCAAGTGATAATTTGGTGATGGATTGGGTGGGCAGGGGGCTGAGGAGGGTTCTATCAAGAATGACTCCCAGGATTGTTTCTTGGCTAAGATGAATAAATCACAACAAAATTAAGTTCCTCTTCCTTTCACTCTTCCCTGCAACCTTATCCCTCTTTACGCTGCTTTTTATTCAAGTACCTTCCCCCCAAGTCAAAGCATAGACTCCAACACAAGAGCCTCTACCCCAAGCAGCTGCTAAGATTAAAAATACAAACAGGTTCAGGATCAATTTAAATACTTTTCTGCATTTTTGTCATGAGAATGCTTTTACACATCAAATACTAAAATTATAGGAAAAATTTGTCTGCAAGCCACTTAAGCATACTAGAATTGAGAGATGAATTTTTAAAATGTACTTTTATTTTTAACCCTACTTTGGCCTAAGGAAGCTATAAGGATAAAGGTATATAAATGAACTAAAAATACAAAAATAAGAGCCAAACTTTTCTTTTGGAAAATCTTCAAATCCATTTTTAAAAGAATGTAATATTATAGATATTAAGAATTCAAAAGAAATAATAAATCCATGTTCTGAAACCAAGGGAGTTCCCCGACCTAACTGCTGCTCAAAATTTCCCCCTTCTACACATCACATTGGATTTGGCAAATGTAGAAAAGTACTTTTCACTTAAAAAAAAAAAAAGTAAGATCTCTAGTAAATGTTACCTAAATGTGATCAAGTTCCTACATTTTGTATTAAAAATGTGATTGAATGAGCTTTAATTTTAAAGCTCTATTAATGTAAGTTTTAAAAGTGAGAACAATTATACTGTGTGTATATAACTTTTACTATATATATATATTCATCAACAAAAGTGTTTGCTGCCTATATTACGTGTAAAGAATACGAAAGCAAGAAAACTATTGCAGTGACATTCCAGCTTCTTTTGGAGGTCATTCTTTGATATGTGCTGTTTACAAAAGGAAGGCAAGGGAGAATTTTAAAAAGGTTATTCCTGCAAACCTATTTACAAAAGTAAGACAGAGTGTTCTTTCAATTCTTAAAAATTTAGGCATAATTTGGAAATGGATGAAAATTTACCTCAATACTTACAAATAAGGGCAGCAAAAGTAAAAATCTGCCCTGAATGTAAAATATCCTCAGAAGTTTGACAAAACAGCTCACTTACAGAGGTTCAAGTTAGGTAAGACATTTTCACTTTAGTAGTAACTTTCACCTAATTGATAAATTTTGATAAAGCTTTAAATCAATGGTAAAATACTAACAAATTAATATGGTAGTTAGTGTTTTGTAGGAGAAAGACTATATAACTTTTACTATTGTATCATGTGGGAAGTTTATGATTATATGCTAACATTTCAGACAAAACCCCCAAATTTTAGTTTAAAAGGTTCTATTCCATTAAACAAATCCTATGTAAAGAGAAATCCAGCTGAACGTTTCAGACTGGTGATAGTTGCTATTGGCTGGAAGCAGCGTAGTGGGGTCTCCCAGCCCTGAGCAGTTCATCTGTTTGGGCTTCAGTGTTCTCATGTGTAGAACAGTCATAATAATATTACTTACCTCACAGGAATGTCATGAAGATTAAGTAAAATAAGATGTGCTTCTAATGGGTTACAGGTGTGTCCCAGACACTGCTTCCCAACACATTCCAAATGCCAGTGGTTATGGCCTGAATTGTGTCCCCCATAAATTCAATGATGTCCTAACCCCCAGTACCTTAGAAAGTGACTATTTGGAGTCAGGGTCTTTAAAAAAAGTAATTTAGTTAAAATGTGGTCACTAGGATGGGCCTTAATCCAGCATGACTGGTACCCTTATAAGATTAAGACACACACAGAGACGACCATGTGAAGAGGGAGGAACGGATGGCCTCAGAAGAAGCCAATTCTGCCAACACCTTCATCTTGGACTTTTGGCCTCCAGAAATATGGGAAATAAATTTCTGCTTTTTAAAGTCACCCAGTCTGTAGTATTTGTTATGTTGCTCTAGCAAGCTAATATGCCAGTCATGGCAAGGGGTGACTGGAGTCCTCTAACCGCAGGGTACTATACAAAGGCTACTTTTTGTGCACCGTGACATGGAAGAAATTTGAGAAGCACTAAGACAAGAGTTAGACTTAATGCAGCTTGTTTTGCTCCTGGCCTGCATACGTGGCAGAAATTATTACTCCAATTTATGAAAATCTAAATGTAAGCATCTAGAATGAGTCTCATATTCCTTAGCATTATTTAACTGGTTGCTCACAAAACTTACAAGAACCAACTGTAGAAAATACAGAGGAGAGGTAGGAGGAGGTGTTTGGAGAAACACTGGCAAACACAAGAATAACTTATTTTGATGGTAAGAGCTCAAGTCTTTCTAAGGATAGCCTACTACTGAGAAAACCAGATTCACTTTTGTAAGTGAAAAGGTCATTTCAGTAGTCCAAAAGCATAACATTCTACTACTAGAGGCCTGGTGCACGGAATTCATACACAGGTGGGGTCCCTAGGCCTCGCCAGCAATCAGGGCCTATCAGGGCCATCTTGCCCAGTCCTGATCGCAGCTGGGCCAGCAGGGGTCTGCTGGCTGCCAAATGGGGCCTGCCGGATGGGGTGAGGGACCACGGGAGGTTTGCCGGGCGGGGGGAGGTTGGCTGGCCATGGGAGGTTGGCTGTGGGAGCACACTGACCACCAGGGGGCAGCTCCTGCATTGAGCGTATGCCCCCTGGTGGTTAGTGCGCATCATAGCGACTGGTCGACCAGTCATAACGGTTGCTTAGGCTTTGATATATATAGATTTCCTAAGAAGTATAATTTGTATTTCTGTACTTGTTAAGTCAATTTAAAAAATTGCACGTTTTAGTAAAAATGAGTTGTGGAACACATAAATTTCTCATATATACAATAGCAATGTTTTTACGTACACGATATTTCTGTTGGATACAGTCACTGAACTTTAAAATACTGATTTCACCCTGGCTGGGAGGCTCAGTTGATTGGAGCATTGTCCCTTCCACCAAAAGGCTGCAGGTTCAATCTCTGCTTAGGATGCAATAAGGAAGACAATTGGTTGATGTTTCTCTCACACATCAATGTTTCTCTCTCTCTCTCTCATTCCCTTCCCCTCTCTCTAAAATCAATAACAAAAATAAAAACATATCCTTAGGTGAGGATTAAAAAAAATTAAGAATTTCATTCAAAGGGGCAGAATATATATTTGGGACACTGAGGCAAGGCTAGATATATAAAGCTATCATTTTCTCATTTCCCTTTCACAGACGGTCAAACAACCCAGAACTCTTCCTGAAGATATTTTTATGGCTGAGACTGGCTCTCAAGCTAGAAACAGATTGGCCTGTGCTGTACAAGACAGAGCCACTAGCCACACGTGGCGAGTGTGACCATGGAACTAGCTTTGAATTTTAATTAATTTTACTATATTTAAAAAACCGATACTCATTTCAGTTATTGAAAAAATTGTCCACAACTACTTGAATATCTATTAGTTTTAACTGTAAAATGCATGAACTCTAAATACAGATCAAGCATGTCTAATGAACATTAGCATCCAAAATGAGTGTGAGTAAGTATACTATACACACTAGGTTTGAAGACTTAATACACAAGAAAGGATATACAATCTTATTAATCCATTTTTATATTGATTACATGTTGAAATGATACTATTTGGCAAATGTTGGATTAAATAAACTATTTTATTAAACTTGATTTCCCCTCTTTTTGTTTTAATTATG